CCCCCTTCGGCTGTGCCACCTCCTGTGCTGTGCAGAATACAGTCTTTAATCCCAAATTGAAGCATAAAGACCAAAGTGTATTTCTTTTTTTAAAAGGAAATGAACTGAAGGCGGGGGTCTAATGTGAGGCCTCTGAAAGGGGCTGCCTTGTCAGAGACGGAGGGCTCTACACTTCCTGAAGAATTGGGCTGTTTTTAGGGTCTCCCAAAAATCAGTAGTTGCTCCTAAAAAATCCTGGCTAATCCGAGATTTAACAATCACCTTATTTCTTTTAACACAGAGAGATACATTCACTCGGCGATAGGCTGAGAGAGGCCTTCAAGAACACCGATGAAAAGTCACATTCAGCTCGGTGGAAAAACGCCATCGTTAAAATTTCCCGACGGGAACCGCGTCCGTTCTGCAAGTGCAACACGTTCCTTCTCGTGCTGGCTGAATGCAAGATCTGCAGAGACACCATTTTTCACGTGGCATCTGATGCCCTTGGTAGCGAAAGAAACGGAGAGCTTCGATGCGAGAGCACCGGGATCCAGCACATACAGGGAGCGGCGGCACCATATGTGCCAGAATGCTGTCTAGCGCAAACAGACTGTCAGCTGAGCTCTGCTGATTTACATCAATGACAGATCTGGCCCTGCGTCCGTAAGCGTGTCCATTCATCAAATCAATGCTTCGGAAAAACAGAAGCCTCGGTAGTGCAAGGCATTTGCATATTTCTGACTGGTACAATGCAAGCGTTTCACTACCGTGCGATGAGTCACGTCGGAGAGGGCTGCCTAATGCTCCCCTACCACAATGCAAGCCTTGAAAACCACGACCAAAATTTGCGCTTCTATTTCTTTGCTCAGCCACTGACAGCTCCTCGGTACATCACGCACGCTCCCACCAGCGTCGCTTTCCTGCTGGAAAGCAAATGGCCGTTTTCAAGCAAAGCCACTAGGTGGCTTTCTGGAAACGTTGCTTTTTCCGACTCAAAAAACCCCTCTTGCAATAATATAATATTGCCTCCTTGCCCCACAAGCCCTGAGGTACCTCGATGCTTTCAATTCCTCGATCATTTCCAGGTTCCTGTCCTTAGGAGGAAAATGATAGGCGGGAGAACGCGACTTTGTGATTAAACCATTGCAATGAAAGCAAAACAAGTCGAAAACGACCTTTGCAACCAAAGCAGACGGGGTGCACGGTGGGGTGACGCACTCTTCACGCACGAGCGATTCCAAGTTGCTCATCCCAACTGGCCCATTGCTCGGAGGTAATGGCTAAGGCCCAGGGGCTCCTAATGACCTGTCACGCAGCATCCTACACTAAGGAGCTCTAAGTTCGGCTCCTTTGCAATGCTTGTGTAGAGTCAAGGGCTTAAAAACGGGCTCTACAAAAGCCATGCTAACGAGCAGGGAGCTGCCCAAGCTAGTCAACAGGAAATGTTAAGGAGAGGTGTGGGTCTTAAGTTCCCCCCGTCCCCCCAAGAGACTTAGGCCCCTTACTTTAAGTGCTGGGGAAGTGCCCATCTGTTGGGACTGTCAAACCTGACCCCTCACCTGGAGGTAGATACCAGAGACAGCCGTCCCTCGTGGCTGCAGTGCTCCTACCCAGAGCTAAACGAGGCAGGAGACCCAGGTTCAGTTTCTTTCTCTGCCTCGGATGGCTCGAACCTGCATCGCCAGCCCCCAAGGGGATGCTCCGGCTTCCAGGCCACCGGGTATTTGGGGGTGCGGAGGTGGAGGGGGCCTCGCTTCCTCCTGAAACGGCTCTGCTTTGCACAGCGGCATTAAGTAGCTTGGTGGCTCTGGCAGCAATGAGGAACATGAAAGACTTGGGTTCAAGCCCTTGCTCTGTCCTCCCACGGCCCCAAAGCAATGGACTATAACAGAAGTGCTCAACCTCTGGCCTGCGGAGCTATGTCCCTTGGGCCACCGCGTTTCCCACAGGTCCAAAAATTTGGCAGCAGGGGAGTGGACTATTAGCACGATCACCTCACCTCTACTGCCAAGTTTCCAAGCCTTGTAGGCTAAGAAACATGGGGCCAGAGTCACAGGCATGGTTTGGCACAGGCTCTGATCTTGCATGTGGGGCCAGGAATGGAGCCGGGCCTGACTTGTTGTATGGACCCGGGGCCATGTGTCAGGCTGGCCCCCCAGACTGGATCAGGCCCCAGCTGGCCCAGCCCCATGCACCAGATCAGGTCCTGGCCCTGCACCACCCATCCAGGCCAAGGAGCTGAATGGTTGGGCACCACCGGCCTCTAAAGTCAACTGGGGGTTTTACAGGATGGCCCTTGAGGGCCCTTCCAACTATGCTTGGGTGCACATAGCTTTATTTCCTAACAGTTAAGAGGAAAGAGGAGACCCGGCTTCCAGTCTGTGCTCTGATGACTCTGTGTAAATCACCGAAATAAATACATAAAGCAGGCACTAGATGCACCACCATCCACTTCAGCTGTGGTCTGTGCCCAATACAATACAAAAGCTCTGAAAGTGCCACATGGGTAAGTCAGGCCAAGGAACACCCCAGTCGTGGAGCCTCACAGGATGCAAACCCCTATTTAATCGTCCCCAGAGGTCCTGGTTTTCTCTGATAAAAAATAATCCCCAATTTTCCAATTTAAAAAAGTAACCCAAAATCCACACTTTTACATGATCAAACTGAAATGCCACTAATATATAGAAGAGTGTACTTGGTAATCATGTTGATCTGAGACAAGAAGATGTTCAAAAAACTAGGACTTGTGGTTCTAAAATGTTACCTTTTGTTAGACCAACTGGGAAATTGCAAAAAAAACTGGTCCTTTTCTGCAAGCTTTTGGGATCAAAGTCCCTTCGTCAGGCTCTGGGAAAAGTATAGATGGTACAAGATGGTAAGAAGTCCTCATAGGTAGGAAATAAACTTCATTTTATTTCCAAAAACAATGCAAATAGTGCAAAAATGAAGTTTATTTCCTACCTATGGGGACTTCTTACCATCTTGTACCATCTATACTTTTCCCAGGGCCTGATAAAAGGACTTTGATCCCAAAAGCTTGCAGAAAAGGACCGCTTTTTGCAATTCCCCAGTTAGTCTAATAACAGGTAACATTCTGGAACCACGAGTTCTAGTTTTTTGTATGTCACTAATATATAGATATACATATAGTGGTGTTGCATTTTAATCAGGGGGAAATGTGGATTTTGGGTTATGTTTTTCAATCCGAAAATTGGGGATTTTTTTTTTAATTTGAGAAAAACAGGATCCCTGCTCATCACTGCTTGCATTTCAGTAGCTAGGGGCACACCCAGACCTATTGGCTCTTAGTGAGCTTTACTTGCAAAAAACCTTAGCACACCAGGGCTTCAGCGGCCTCCAGGGTTAGGCAGCAGCTGGGGTTAGGGGGTGTTTCAAGTTCTGAATTTTGTATTTAGCTGCCTACAAGGGCTGTTAAATGAGACTAAGGCACCGAAGCCCTTCCATGCA